TCATTATTAAAAAAAAAAAAAAAAAAAAAAAATCTTGCGTTTTTTGGCTGAAGCTATAATTGTACCTGACTCTATTTTCTCTTGATTATAAATTAAACTTTTACTCCGAAAAAAAAGAAAGACAATGGCAGAGAAACCATTGGGTGCAGCTTTCCCTTTTTTTTTTTCTCCTCCTCCTTTTTTTGTTTAAAGGGGGGCTCCCCTTTTTTTTTTTTTTTGCGAGTGCAAGAGTGCAATTTTAAAGAAATAAAAAGCTCATAGTTTGTAACTTATTGTACTCCTCCCTTATTTTATTTGTAAATCAAAGTTTATTCTAATGGAAGATCTAAAATTTAAATTTGGTCAAAACGAGAGGAAGTTTAGGTTCATGAGTCCAGATAATACCGCATTAGATGAAAAAAAAAATGAAAAAAAAAGGAAAAAAAAAAAAGAGAAAAAGGAATACATATCCCCGATCCTTCGATATCAACTCTTTTGTTATCTTTTCCAACGTTTGATTGTTCCCTGTAGATCTACGTAATTAAAAAGATAGTTGATCATCCTATGATTATGATCATGTCGTTCTTCTTTCATTGGTATCAAAAGAACAAAGAACTTAATTAAGCCACATTGTCTAATTTCTTTCTTGACCTTTTATCTTTTAAAGTTGAGGATAAATTCTATGACTCTAACTCTACGATTTTGTTTAGTAAGATCGAAAAAGTGGAAATGAGGGATACACATAGTGGGAGAATTAATGAAAGGTACCTTTTATGATCTATAGATGTAATTTTTAGAAATTGGATTAAAGAAGTGAATAAATAAAGTGAAGTTCAAAAGCCTCCAAAGATCCCTTGACTCGTCTCAGTTTGAAAGGATCATTGGCGGGAACTTATCTACTTAATTAGACGCAATAGTGTCAAATTACGCTATTACATTACCTCTTATTATGGAAGTTAGAGGGGGTTGGACTGTTGGAGTAGCAAATTTGGATACTATATAGGGATGAGTACTGTAGCGGCTCGGCTATAGGGAGCTGGGCCTATATGAGTTCGAGGAGGTTTGGCTGGCCGGGGCAGTGGGTTCGGGTACAAAAGGGCTGAGCACAAGTTGGCAGTTGGTGGGCGGGTCTAGGATTCGACGGTGGAAAAGGGCGCGACCTTGACAGGATGGGTGGTTGGGTTTGGAAAGAGGCTGCTCTGAGGTGTTTCAATTTTTTTTTTTTTTTTTTTTGGGTAATATTTATGGTAGGAAAGGCTTTTTTACCTTACCGATAGGTACTGCTATTTTAACCGATTGATTAACTTTTCAACGGTCAGATATGCAATTGAAGATGTTACATTGCGCGCCTCAAACTTTTAACATGCATACTTATAGATCTTATTGTTAAAAAAGTAAACCATCGTTTAAAATAGCTATACCTACATGCAGGGTAAAAAAACCTTCCTTACCATAAAAATTGCCTTCTTTTTGGAATTTTAGTTGTTTAGGTTTTCTTATCTAGATGTTGCTTAAAAGTTATGTTCTTTCAATTTTTTTTTTTAAATTTACTAATTTACATAAATTAATTAGAATGATAAAAATGACATTTCATGCCAAAAAGGACATCAAGGTACGTACCATATAATAGCGTTTCAAGGTATCATGACATTTTTAATATGTTTAACAAATAGATTCTGTTTAAGTTGATATTTTTTTATACGATTAATAAACAGATCGACAAGTTTGCATACGTTAACATGAATTGACAGCCCTCCGTCCTTTGGTTCTTATGATCGATGGCTGTTGTAAAGACGTACAAAATGAAGGGTTGGTAACAAAGAAAACATATGTGACATGTTCCTCTATCATCCATCGATATTGCAAGGTTTTCAGGTCTAAGTCGGCAATTGCTTTATGATGCATATAGATGATCCCAGAGAATGTTTCACTCTCACGCAAGCCAGTATAAAAAATTATTGGTTTTCAACGGCTACACATATGTTATATATCCATTGGCTTAAGTTCCTGGGCCAAATTCTAATGTCCCTGTTAACAACTTTTCCTTTTTTTTTCCCTCTTTTTTCTTATGGCGTTGTAAAATAACGTACGGTTGTTAACAAGATGACAAATACTTTCTCTTACTAATTTGGTATTCCGAAATCCTTATCACAAGTTGTATGATGAAAATAACGACGTACAGAATATATCTAAGGACACTGTCAAAAGAAAGAGTTTTTGTTAAGATACAAGGGAAATGAGGCAAGAGTGTTTGTTAAGATACAAGGGAAATGAGGCCAAGATCTGTGTTCCAAGAATCCAACAGATATTATTGAAAAAAGTACGGAATAAATAAAAATACGTTGAAATAGTAACCCATATGGACTAAAAAATACTTTATTATAGATAAAGCTGTGGAAGGCGCAAACTTGCAAATATGCTACTATAATATTCATGCGGTTCTAAAGAATGTTTTTGTATTCTTGAGCATATATATGCCTATATATATATATATATATATATATCTAGCTACCGATAATTTTAACCGGTCACCAGGCTTAGAAATTGTACTTTTGGATTAAAATCAAACCAATATTATATATTTGGAGTTACTTTCTGTCTCTGCATTTTTTCAAACTCTCTGGAACAAGGTACGCATGATCTCTAGAATAAATTAGCTTCTAGAAAGAACTAATGGCCGATTAGCGTTGTTGATATGTAGTTAGGGAAACGGTGAGGTCATTTTTCAGATTTTTTACTTATTCTTTTTTATATATATATATATATATTTCTTTTGAGGAAAGCTCTCTTTTCATGAATTGCAATATAGTATTATATAGTAAACAACTAATTGCTTATTGTGCTATAATTAACTTCTACTGTACTGATGGTTTAACATACATGTGTGTGTGTTAGCTCAGCAATATATTAGCATGCACCGAGTACTTGCGCTGTTGTAGAATGCATAATAGCAAACATAAACGAAAATTCAAAGGGAAAAAATAACAGAACACAAGATTTACGTGGTTCGGCGAATTTTCCTACATCGTCTACTGTTGAAGAACTAATAATCCACTAACTAAACACTTTGAATATTTCAAACCTCAACTGGTCGAAACTTCTTTCTATATATACACGTATCATAAAAGACCTTTCTCCAATCGTTGATAAATTATAAACTACACAAACCTAAACACGCCTAAATTTCCAAACCTAAAACTCGTGAAACGAGCTAAAGCAGTATAAGGTAACAACATTGACGTTTAATGGTAACTACTGCGGGGAAACAAGAAAAGCTTCATTAGGTAACACAAAAACGTGCGTTTACTGATATGATTTTAGGACAATTTGACAATGTTGCTAATCAAGTTCAAACTGTTTAATATATAGCGAGACTGAAACCACTACATAAGACCAAGAAAGATGTCAATTTCCAAATGGTGTCAAACTTTTGTCAAGCGTATTCATTAGATGTATTACTAATGTAAGACGCCTTTTGACTATCTTTGGTTTCATTATAGTAAAAGTTCTAATGATTGGGGTCTGATGAATAAACAAGGTACATAATAAATATAAAAACCTTCCAAAAAAAAAAAAAAAAAAAAGAACACCCGGAACAGACAACCCACTTACTAGAGATAATATGAGTTACGGCTCTAATTTCATGTGAGAGTTATAGAAATTTTTACCGGCCACGCAATTCACATATAGAATAAAGACCATAAATTTATAGTTATGATTTTGTTTCAGTACTGAAAAGAACCTCGTAGCGTTTCACCTCCAGGTTTATTGCTTCTTATACGTCACGCTGACACAGTACACGATCGTCAATTTCAAGTGGCAGTGGCCTTAACTCAATTATTGAACCGAAGTCATCGCTCGATCAACTTCAAAAGATTTTTTTTTTCTTTTTAATTTCTCTCTCTTTTTCTTTTTCTGATATATATATCACCAAGTGGCAAATGGCTGGAAAAGCCGTGTTGAAAATTGTTTTACTTGGTCATGACTTTAAGTTGACAAACAAATTAAAAATGAGCACATTCTTATATACATATGTAGCTAGCTAGGAAAATCGTACTATTGTTTCTTGATGATTCTTCCATTCTCTATGCCAATGACTCTTTTTTTTTTCTTTTCATGCATAATTAATTTAAAATAAAGTTCCCTCCTTATTGGAAGGTAACTCACTATTCTTTGAAATTTTTTAAATCAAAAGGAAAAGCCACGATGAAAAAGGCATGACATGTGTGTGTATTTCCTTCCTTTTTCTCATGTGACATGTCCAAACAGTGTAATTATTGGAATCCCACATTGGTTGGAGATATTGACATGCTCTACTTAATAAGGTGAGGATAATCCTCCCCTAATAAGTCGGTTTTGTTAGGTTGAGTTAGACCCAATATCTTTTAATTTCTATAAAATGGTATCAGAGCAGGCATAGTTTTGCAATGTTGGGTCCCCCAATATCAACTTATTCACAGCGGTTTGGCATGATTCACGTTGTGCGTGAGGGGGTATATTTGAATCCTACATTGGCTGGAGATATTGGCATGATCTACTTAATAAGCTGAGGGTAATCCTCCCCTAATAAGCCGGTTTTGTTAGGTTGAGTTAGGCTCAATATCCTTTAATTTCTGTAAAAGTAATTGGGCAAAACAAATGTCTAAATGCAAAGTCTTTGTCAACTTAAATGCCCCACTCTCCACTACAACCATTACTACTACTATTACTATACAGATCCCACCTTCTCTTCCCATCTCTCCGTGGCATATATTGTTGCAACCACTATCTCCTATACTTTTATCTCAACTTCTTGTAGGACTTATATGCACTCATCATCTGTATGTCAACCCTACATTCTAATTAGCACTATAAATATCAGAAATCTCAAACTACACTCTTCAAAATAAATAACCACTGATCAGTAGCTTGCTAGCTAGTTTCTTTTGCTCGTTTTTAAAAAAAAAATTATTATTCACTTTTTTTTTGTTTGGTTTTTTTTTTTTTTTTTAAAAAAAAAAAAAGAAGAGAGGAATTTAATAATGGATAACAATGATAAAGTTACAAATTATGCAACTAGAAGTGGAACTACTCCTGCAATACCTAGTGTAGGTGGTGGTGTTGGGTTCAGGCAAGAGCGGAGTACTAGTGCGAACGGCAGCAAGAAATCGGCACAGCTTCTCAAGAGCATCGACTGCTTTGGCCTTGAATTGGCCATGCAGGAAGAAGGTGCATTCCACAAAGCTGACTCTCGCTCTTCACGCCCATCTCCTCCTGCAGTTTCACTTGCAAGAAAGGTATATGTATAATTGGAGATATATATATATACACAAACACATACATATTGTGCTACATGTATATATATAATATGAATATATTGCATGCATGGATTCCATATAATATATTAATTCATTTTCCAAACTGCTAACTTCCTGTGTATTAATGATATGAGGAGGTTTGTGACAAGATATATGAATAAATGAGGATTTCGGAGATGTCGGGTTTTTATTTTCATTAGACGTATTTTTTATGCGGACACAATTTTTTTTTTAATTCAATTAGTGTATATATTAAGATGACGTTCAAAAAAATACACCTCTATTAATTCCTGCCAAAAAATATTGGCCTATTTATAGACTAAAAGGGAATATTTATTAGATGTACACTAATTAATGTGACAATCAATAAAGGTCAAAATACAGTGACCCATATACGTATGCTTTAATTTTATCCCATGTAGCCAGCTGATCACGTTTCAAATAGAAGAGTACTAGTACTAACCGGCTTCTTTTCATGATATGATGCTGATTGTTTCATGTGGCAAATATGATCAGGTGGGAGCTGAATTCATAGGCACTCTACTTCTCATATTTTTGGCGGCAGCCATAGCCATTATGAACCCAAACACAAGAGAGCCCACCACCCTCACCGTCGTCGCCGTCGCCACTGGCCTTATCGTCATGATAATCATCTTCTCGACCGGCCACATATCCGGAGCCCATCTTAACCCTGCAGTCACCATCGCCTTCGCTGCCCTAAAGCACTTCCCATGGAAACATGTAATATATTATACATATAGTTGGCCCTAGCTGTTGCATGCACTTGTAACATATTATAGCTCTTTCCTTGGACTGACAGTATTTTCACAATTTTTCACAGGTGCCAGTATACATCGGAGCACAGGTGTCGGCATCTCTCTGCGCTTCATTCGCATTGAAGGGCGTTTTCCATCCCGTAACCGGATCAGGAGGTGTCACAGTTCCTTCCGTGGCTTATGGCCAAGCTTTTGCTTTGGAGTTCATTGTCACCTTTGTTCTAATGTTTGTCACTACTGCCGTCGCCACCGACACAAGAGCAGTAAGATCGTAATATATATATACATACATATATATATATATATTTGAGGATTAGAAATAAGAAAATCCCTAAAATAAAGTCTTAAAAAAATAATTAAATAAAGTTTGACCAAACTTTTTGACCTCATATATACAGGTTGGAGAGTTGGCGGGAATCGCTGTTGGAGCAACTGTGATGCTCAACAATTTTGTTGCAGGGTTTGTTGATCGGAACTTCAACATTCTTTTGATCAGAATCTGCTCCTTCTGATCATCTGACTTTCTGAATAATATAGTATATACATACATACACACACACACACACAGAGACACACACACACACACATATATATATACAAAATGCATAGCATATGCATGCATACATCTACATATATACTCACCGATCGATCGATATGACAAATATAATATGCATGGATTGGTTTAAGTTTAATTGCAAATGAAGAATTCATGAGCAACGAATTTGTACTAATTAAAGAAGGAAGATCAGATTAAATATATATATATACACTTTAAACTCTATTAACCTGTTGATA